AGACAAAAAGAAAGCGGCAAAGGAAATGCACAAGAATGAGCAACAGATGCAAAAAGCAAAGCCACGAGGACAGGTTATTAACCAGTTCTATTTGTCTTTGTCTGCGGGGACTTTGCCTTCAACTTCACTCGGTCTCTCTCTCTGTACATCTGTCTATCTTTTCTCAATGGATCCAGAAGAAGGGATCTTATCGGGAGGCGAAGCTCACTTGACTTTGGAATGCCAAGTGCTATCGGGAATGTCAGTGGAATGTCCCACAACTCTACAAGGCGAGACTTGCTTTGTTTTTATTTAAGGGGAGAGAGTATACCAGTATATTATAGGAGATCTGTATAATCAAAATTTTTAACTTTATCATAATTCAATTGATCCTACAACCTATACTGCCTCCATATTGGTGTTAAACATCTGTATCATCGACAGCATCCATCCTGAACATGTCTTTATCTCCAACTCGAACTGCGATTACTTCATTATCTGCATTATCTTCAACTTGAAAGCGAGGCGATGATGTGTCAACAATAACAACGGGGGCTGTGCATTTTATTCACCACTTAACGTGGACAGAGAGTGAACGGAAATACAAGAAGTCGACACTTAATTTCCGCAAATCCGGTTTATCTTTGCACGCTCTCTGTTACATTTAACAGAGAGCTGTTAAGCTTAAAGAGCGGATGCAGCAGACACGTCTCGAAAGAATCGATGACTGTACATATACCGATAGCAACGATAACGATAACAAAGATACAGACACTGATTCGGATAATGAAACTCAATTCAAACACGAACGAAATTCTTGTGATCGATAAAGGAATAATCGAATCGGATAATCGATAAAAATTTGATTTTGCAATTTCGATAACTAATTTGCATTCTTTTGATGAGTTGAACCATCTTGAAGTGTCTATTACGTTTGGCATTCCATTGACTTGATTATTCCGCTGACTGATTCGAATGTGATTTACCTTTTCCCCTTCGCAAAAAATATAAAAAAATATATATATATTTATATAGCAGACATTGCTCATTTATATTTATCATTTCTGCGGAATCGATTGGCAATTCCAGAGCTGCTTTTGCCATTTACAAATTGCTATTATTAGTTTCGCTTTAATTGCCGTTGGGCATGAGTAATAATTGGCCAAGGAAATCACTTGCTTGTTGCTGTTCTCTCGATTTCATTAATGCAATTTGCTTTAAACCAAACTAAATAAATATTTACATAGGCGCTACAGTTACAATGATTACAATTAAACAATACAAATATGCAAAGCAAATCGAAGAACTTAACCTAAACAAAAAGCAAATGGGATTTCGATCTTCAAGTTTCTTTCTTTTTTAATTAAGAAACTTGATGAAATATGAAATAAACATTTTTATATATTTTAAAAATGAAAAAAACCCAGAAAGTGTTTTAAAATGGTATGGATTTGGTATGTCAGTTAAGGAAAGACAAAGTAACGTTTGGTGCATTATGGAATGTGTAAAATAAAGAGATATACCCAAAGAAAGGCGACAAAATGTTGGCTAAATTTTATAGGGCTTATAAACCGGGTTACGTGGTCGCCACCAGTGCCTGCCAAACTGTACAGATCCCCGATAATGGAGGCAAACAGGGCGTCATTGCTGCCGCTGGCGCCGATCTTTGTCTTTGTCCCGCCGGCCACTATAAAAAATATATACAAAAAAAATTAAAAAAATCCAGCTAAAGTGCCAACTAATATACGAGTGGTCGTCGCCGGCTGAGGTTGAGGAGCAGGAGGAACGGGGGCGTTGTTTCCTTATCAAAGAGCAAGCAGCGCCAGGCGGCGCACAGTGCTCAGTTTGGCCAATTTAATTTGTTACACATTGTGAAGTGTTTTCTTTTTTTCTTTTTTGTTGGATTTTTTGTTTAATGTGGAAGTGGGGGGAGGGGTGTAGGGGTGTAGGGGGCAAATAGGCAATAGGCAGGCGAAACTTCCATTGAAAAAGCTACGCAATAAAAATAATTTCATGGTCAGCAAACAAACACACACACACAAGGTACAGATATATGGATAGATAGCGCAAAACTAACGCAAAAAATTGCTTTGTCCCCAAAATCTACAAATATATTTTTTTCTCTCTCTCTTTGTGTTACGTACTGACGTAGCGTTGTTCCATTGTTCCCGCTACGTAAAAAAGGTTAAAAAAATTGGGAGTTTAGAAGGCTTATGTTTACATATTTTATACATTTATTTATTATTTCGAATTTTCAAGAAGGAAATTAATCAAATAAAATTAATCTTGGTAATATTTGTAATTTTTTAAGGAGAAAATTTATAAATTATAAAGATAACAACTTATTTATTTATATATATATATTTTTTTATTAAATTAAAATTAAATACTATAATTTTACCTAAAAAATATGGCATTTTCAAGCATAAACAAAATAACGTATATTTTATATTAAGGCATTAAATAGTTAAATTATTTATAATTGATAATTTAATTTTAATGGTTACTTCCTTTACTTTATAATTATAATTACAAAAAGGCAAGGCCATTTTTATTGTAAAAAAAAGAGATACAAATTGTATTTGTGTAAACCTTATTTTTCGTTTTGAATCTAGGGCTTCGATTTTGATGTATTAGTTATTTGAGTTTCAAGCCATCGAAAAACCGGTCGACCAAAAGGCATTTTCCCTGCCAAAAAAAAAGGGGGAAAAAAAAAAACAATAACAAAAACAACTTCCAGTCAATTTGCACAAAGTTAATAAATTACAGCATTGACTGCCTTTGTTGTTGCTGCTGCTGTCGCTGCTGTTGCCGCTGATTTTGGTGTTGCTCTTGGTTTAAATTTGAAAATTTCGATTTCGCTGCGACTGCCACTGCGACGGTGATGACGTAAGTTGCGTGTGCGACGTCAGTTGACCTTGGTACACTTAACAGCAGCCACATCCAGTCCAGTAACAACAACGTCACCAAATAGGCTCGACTCCAAAAACTGCTGTGTTTTGTGTTACCTCCAATACTTCGGATATATTTCGTATATACAAACATACATATATCTTTTTCGGTTTGTTGCTAGGCCGAGCTTGAAGCTTTTTGTATCTTATTTATTTAATTTTTTTAGGGAGGGAAACTTCATGTGGGGATTGTTGCATAAGGTTCAAGCTGCGTCAAATGGCAAAGGGAAAGTGGGCATGAATGAAAATGATGATGATGATGATGATGATGATGGTTTCCAACCTCATTCAGCCTCATCTTAACCGAAACCGAAGCTCAAAACTGAGTCGAGCTTCATTTGAATATTATTGGGTCACTGTGTCAGAGCAGAGCCAATAAAAATTAAAACATGACCTCCTGTCCCGCCCCTCATACGGTATGCTGGTCGTACTCTTACTCACTGCAATTCCACTGACCGCAAAGATGACAGCAGGGGCCACAAAAATAAAGACTGAATATGCATTATAAAATATTTACTCAATATATAAAAAAAAAAAATTATATTAAAACGAATAAATAATAATAAAATGTAAGGTTTAATATTCAGTAAATATCGATATATCGATAGTGTAATGAAATTGGGTGCAAGATTTGCCATCTATGTGCCATATATCTAAGCAATAAACTCGAAAAAAAGAAGTTAAATAAATTAAATTAATAAAGTCCAGTTTTTCTTTGATAAAAATCCATAATTTAAAGTTAGACATTTTTTCGATATTTAAATTTGCAATATAACCTAGTTGACCAGGTTTTGTATTAAATATATCAGACTTTTTCTGTAAAAAGAAGCATACCTAAATTATAATTATTGATATTTTAGAGTTAAGTGCGATATCTTTCAATATCTACAATTTCGATACATTTTTAATATATAATTCCTGTTATTTCCATTCAATATACAACCCCAGTTTAATGAAAGTTTAGTTTATAAAAGGGGCTTTAGTTAGCTATAACAATTAATATTGTTGACTATCTAAGATTTCATGTGCTTATGCAGTTACGAGACTATTTTGCTAATCACTGCTGTACTGTGCTTGCATATGCAATGGAAATGATTAATTAACCCAGACCCAGACCTCTAAAAACAAAAATCAAGCTTCGAACTGAGTCGCAGTATATGCTTATGTATTGCCTTTGTTTTCTTTTGTTGCTTGTTATTTAGCTGCTCTCATTTCGCACAATTCACTTGCACTTGCACTGGCATACTTGGCCCGCCCTGTTGCAGTTTTAGTTTATTGCAGGGGGAACCCTTTCCCTCTTGGCCTTTCAATCCCCCTTACTACTAGCCCTTCTGTGACGCAATCGAGGCGTTGACTTGGGGTGCCTGGTGCCTGGGTTTTTGCAAATATTTGATCCGAACACAAAGGCGCTGCATTGAATCACGTACAATGGAGGTACAATAATAATAATAATAATCATAAGTTCTGAAAAGGGGGCTTTCGAATGCTGAAAAGAGAGGGGGTGTTGCTGCTGGAAGGCCTGTAAATAGTTAAGGCGATAAATGTCTTCTATCGAACTGAAATTCATCTGGTTGGAATGCGGCATTTCATCATTATGCAAGTGTCACAGGAATGTCTACCTTCCAGATGCATTTTGTTATCGAAATTATCGGTATTAAGGAAACGTAAAGAGGTGAAGTCTAAGTTGGTATATAAAGCAAAATATAACGCTTAATGTTATATATAAATTATCGTAGACTTTGAATTATCGAAATTGTAAATATATAAAAATAAATGCAAAATATCGTAAACTTGCATTTCGAATTTTTTATTGAAAATAAGCTTAATTGTAATTTTATTATATTATTGCTTTATTTTATAAAATAAATATCGATATATCACTTTTATATCGAAATGTTCATAATCTATTTGTATATCGATCAGTTGCTCTTCTTTTTTGACAAACTTAAATTCAAAATTAATAGTTCAAGCCTCGCAAATAATTTTTAAAGTAAAATGTGTGATTATTTTAAGCATTTTCCAAGGAAAAACCCATTATTAATCCGTTCTTTATACCCTTTTTTCTTGCAGGCTCAGCGTCCGGAGAACACGGTTATGCAAGCGCTGGAATCGCTTAACGACTCGCAGGTTAATGACTTCCTCAGCGGCAAGACTCCGCTCAACCTGAGCATGCGCCTCGGCGACCACATGATGCTCATTCAGCTGCAGCTGAGCACAGTGAATCCGGCAGGTGGTGGCACTACAGTGGCCACCGCCACTGGTGGCTCAAGCAGCAGCAGCAGCAGCATCACCACCAGCACTACTGCTGCCTCCTCATCCTCATCGGTGGCCTCCTCATCACTGCCAGCTGGCACTGGTTGTTCGGCCACCGCATCTTCTTCATCATCGTCGTCCGCCTCCTCCTCCTCCTCCTCCTCGGCGGCAGCGGTGCTAGCCGTAGGCAGCAGTGGTAACACCACCACCTCTTCCTCCTCCTCCTCGTCATCGTCGAGAGCCCGCTCCTCCGGACATCGTGGTTCGGGAAAGATCGGCCATGGTCACGTTCACAGCCACCAGCATCCGAGTCTGCATCACGGCTCTTGGCACGGTCACAGTCACGGCCACAGCCATGGGCATGGACATAGCCACAGCCAGAGCCATGGACACGGACATGGTCACCACCATCATCATCATCACCACCATCACCATCATCATCACAATGCCTCGGCTGTGGCCGCCGGGAGCGGTGGTGGTGGCATGGTCTGCCACTCGATGCGCAAGATGTACGGGGATCCAGGCTCCGGTAAAGGCTCCACCAGCAACGGTCAAATCCAGAGCTCAAATACGGCACTTAACGGGGGGCCCGATCTCACCAAGCTTCTAATTAAGGGCGGCATTCAGAACATGGTCAAGGGATTCGCGCTAAAGGACTCGACTACTGCCACGGCTCCACGTGGCTCTGTGGCCAGCTCTGGGGGCTCCGGCAGTGCCGGATCGAGTCCCGGCAAGGCTGCTGGCGCTGGCGTGCTGGAGCAATCGCCCATCAAGTCGCTGTCGAATCTCGTGTCCAGCCCCATTAAGATGACGGCCATCAAGAACATTCCCCTGCCCACGACGGCTGCTGGCGGCGTCAGTTCCAACAACGCCGCTGCCTCCACCTCCGGCTGCAGCTGCAGCATCAGCTCTGCCTCCAGCACGTCCTCATCCGGCGCTTCCAGTGGAGCCTGCACCGCTGGCGGTTGCCAGCAGGATCCCATTGCCGCCAACCTGACCTCGTGCCTGTGCACGCGCCTGCCCACGCCGTCGTCGGTGGCACCGCCGCTGGCTCCGCTGGTGGCCACCACCCCGCTGGCCAGGTCCGGATCCGCCGCCGGGAAGTGCCCCGAATCGAGCTGCACTGGAGTGAACGCTGGCTATGCCGCTCGCTCCATTCCGCCGGGCGCGGGCGTTACCTTCTCGGGCAACTCGATGCTGCACAAGACCGGCAACAACAGGATCACCAGGACCAAGCACCGGCACTACCACGGGCATGGTCACGGGCATGGTCAGCACGGTAGCAGCAGTAGCAGCACCGCCAGCGGTAGCAGCAGCAGCCACTTTTACCAGCACGCCTGTGCCGTGAACCACACCTCGTCTTCGGGTTCGTCTACGTCGTCTGCCGCCTCCTCATCGCGTCGCAAGCTGGAGCAGGCAGTGGCAGCAGGGGCTACAGGAGCAGCAGCAGCAGCAGCAGGTGCAGGAACACGTGCCGCTGCCATTACAGGATCCACATCCGGAGCGGCAACGGCGGGTGCTTCAATGCCACCTCTACTTACCGCCGAACCCGAGGACTCTTCGCTGGGCGTCTCTGACACCCGAACCCTGGCTGAGGCCTCGCGCAACCTCACCCAGACGCTGCGCAAGCTCTCCAAGGAGGTGTTCACCAACAAGATCGATCTGTCCGGCGCTGCCAGTGTCGTGGGGAGCAGCAGCAGCAACGGCAGCAGTAGCTCCAGCGGCAGCAGCAGCGGCGGCTCCTCCAGCTCTGGCGGCGGAACTGGTTTAGGCGGCGAGGAGACACCGCGCAAGGGCGGATCCGGTGCCGTTATCGAATCGATGAAGAACCACGGCAAGGGCATCTACTCCGGCACCTTCTCGGGAACCCTGAATCCGGCGCTGCAGGACCGCTACGGTCGTCCCAAGCGCGATATTTCCACGGTGATCCATATCCTAAATGACCTGCTCAGCGCCACGCCGCAATATGGGCGCGGTGCCCGCATTAGCTTCGAGGCGCCCAGCAGCGCGGGATCAGCAGCGGGTTCCAGCGCGGCCTCAGGATCGGGCAGCAGTGGATCCTCCTCGACGGCGTCCACCAGCAATGGAATGCATCACGGATCGCGCAGTAAAATGGTGAGTATAGAGACATTACCATTTGCTAGATTCCAGGCTAACGATCTATCTCTCCTCCTGGCAGTACTCTTCGCGTCATCATAACTGCGCCAAGTGCAGCAGCCGGGCGCAGCATCAGCAACAGCAGCAGCAGCAGCAATCGTCGGCAAGCGGATGTAGCTGCTCCTTCCACGACTTCCAGGGCTACTTCTCCCCCTCATCCTCCTCCACTGGTTCCGCAACCTCGTCAACCGCCGCCTCGAAGGCTTCGGCTGGCTCCAAGTCATCATCGCACAGCTGCTGCCCGGCGGAAGCAGCCAACAGCCAGTCCACCGGCTCTTGCACCTGTCGCTATCGCCGCGACGAGGGACAGGAGCGCGAGCGGGAGTACATGTGCCAGAAGTGCACCGTGGAGCTGGCCAACATGAAGACGCGCTCGAAGATGGACCAGCTGCGTCTGGTCATGCAGCAGCACAAACAGAAGCGGGAGGCTCGCAAGCTGAAGAGCGGTCCCTATGCCATGCCCAATGCGGCAGCCCCGGCTGCGACCACATCATCGGCTGTGCAATACAGTGCTGTCAGCGCTTTAGTGGCCACGCCCACGACGACTCCCACCAGCAGCAACAGCACCAGCAATACCGCCAGCAATGCCAATGCCAATAGCAACAACAACAACACAACAGGCGGCAGTGGCGGAGCTGCTGGAGGAGCTACGGCCACAGCGGCAACAACAACAACAACAACAACATCAGCGGCAGCGGCAGCCACAGCAGCACCGCCCAGCGAGGTCTCGCCCAACCACATTGTGGAGGAGGTGGACACGGCGGCCTAAGGAGCCGCTAACCTTATCCTATTTTTTAGCATTTACTAGTTTACGCAGCAGCAACAAAGAGCAAGGAAGGAAGAGGGGCAGAAGAGAAACTACAACACACACAACTAAAGCTTATATTAATTTAGAATTAATTAATGACCCGGAGACACTTCTCCGCTGAGGCCTGAGAGAGCAAGCAGGAGGTCAGGAGCGGCGGAGGTCAGAAGAGCGCGTCTGGAGAGTCGATAAGCTGTTAAATTAATTTTAAGTGACTCCCCAAAAACAAATACAGAAAACACTACAACAGAGGACACCATAAAACACCACAACACAACAACAACACACCACAAAACCCCATAAAACGTCTCACCACAACAACACACCACACAACAACAATACACAACAACAAAACACCACTTGAAGCAAATCCAAAAGGATCCCTGGGAATGATTCAGCTTCCGGAGGCAACAAAATCCTTGAACGTTTCTTTCGTAAATTGAATTTAGTGAAATATATATATTTTTTTGTTTTTCGAGAACCGAAAACACACACACACACACAAAAAGGAATAAAGGATATAATTTGAAGTGAGGCGTTGAATATAGAATTAGAAGTTTAAGGAACACGACGGAAGCTCGATGCTGAGAGAATTGTAAGCCAAAGCGGTGGCAAATTTTGGTAGAACTAAAGCAGAAATTAAATTTACGTTTAGAACACACCAAAATCAACACACACACTCACACACAGACGACACACACAACACCCTTGGCTTTGGCAGCTTTATATTATGTTTAACTTTAAACGAAGGCGACGGAGAACTATGGTGGCGCTTTAACATGATTTGCCTTAATAGAAAATCGTTTAATATATATATATATATATAATTTTTTTTTCCCTACACTTAAACTCCTTTTCACCGATAATGTGTTTCGAATTAAATTTTTGTTTAATCATTTACTACACCTACTACACAAAAACACTATTGAACTAGTTAGTAAGACCTATGTTTTCATTATACGATTTACGATTGGATTAGTTAAGCAACAACAGCGACTTACAGCGCCGTTGCTTTATAATTTAAATTCCTTATTTTTTTGTGGATGTCCTACAACAACAACAACAACAACAACCACCACCTACTTACATTCAAATTATAATGCAATTAGTTCTAGGCGAGTTAAAAATTTTTAAGTTGATTTTACACCACCACAACAACACCAACAACAACAACTACTTGATTTCAATAAATGTTTAGTAAATGGTTTAGTTAACTAATTTTGTTTTGTCTTTTCATTTTCCTTACCTATTTGTTTTGTTTCAGTTTATTTTTTTTGGTTTTTTTCAAGGCTACCCTGCGAGAGCTGCCTAAAAATCGTCTTAAAATCGATAAGTTTCTATTATTTTGTGCAGCTCTTTCACCGCCTGCTGGCATCGAATATGTGCAATACACCCTAGAGCCGATAAATAATCGAAAACATCGATCATTTTGCAGGTCCAACATTAAGTATTTTCTTGATTTGATTCGACTTTTTGGAGAAATGATGTGCCAATTGCAAACAAACACAAGTACATACTCGTAAAAATAGTATATGTATGTAATGTATGTGGAAATTTAGTAAGAATTGTAAATGACATATATAAATATATGATATAATGTATAACCTTCACACACACACACACACACATACAGAGGAGGAATATCGACCAAATTGAAACTTTTTATCAAAGAAAACCCCAACACATAGGTATTGGTCGTAGTTTGTTAAGTGATAAGTCTAAAAACAAGTTATGTGCAATTTATATGTAAACAAAACATACGTTTCCGTTTCTATATAGTTTCCCCTCTATATATAATCTATCTAATTATCTATCTATCTACATAGCTTTCCATCTATCTCTCCACAATTAGGTCGAAATCGAGAGCGAATTCGATAACGAAATCGTAATCGATAGTTAGCATTAGGAGACATAAATAAGTTCGATGTACGATAAAAATCTAGAGGTAGGCTTAGAGACAGCTGGAGGCACGAGAGAGAGAGACAGAGAGATATCGATAAGAAGGACAGGGATGAAAGGGTTTGAGGAGAACACAGGAGCAGAAGAGCAGAAAAACGGACGAACAAGGAGACGTGGACTGATGAGGATGATCATACATGGTGGGTGGGTGGCTTGGCAAGGGTATTACTTTGGTTCAGATATGGGATTTCGGTTAGATTGATTGACTTGATTGATTCGGACTCGGTTGGATAATTTTCAGCATATCTGCGTGAATTTCTAACAAAGTACAAACACACAAACAATGCGATTTTTTATATATTAAAAGAAGAAAAACAAACATAGTTCAAATATTTACACAAGGCCCCCCTTAAACACCCCCCATTAACCCATTTTTCACTCGATAGGAAAGCATTCCTTGACGAAAATTTAACCCAAAACATATGCGCAACATTTGCTGAAAATGAAAACACAAAAAATACATTTAAAAAAAAAAAAAAACACAAAAACAATTATAAAATCTATGTAAAAAAAAAAAAAACAAATTTTTAAGTGTAAACTAAATTAAATTTTTGTCGCATTTATTTTGAATAGTTCAAATTTATTGAAAAACAAAGTCCCAAGGCCCGAATATATATACTATGGATATAAACTCCCATATAAAGACATATACACATATATATTTTTGAATTGACATTTTGCGTCTTTGTCTTTTTTGTTGACATCTTCCAAGTCTCGAAAGCGAAACAAAAACCAGCACTGTCAAAGCGAAATTGATGAAATTAGCAAAATTATTAGGAGGAGGAGGAGGCAGAAACACCACGTTCCCATTCACGCAAAAGGACATGTCGAGAAAAAACATAAAGACAACAAACGAGGAAAATGTGTAGAAACGAATAAGAAGAAGCTATAGAAGTTGATCCCTAATATATGGGAGGGGAAGTTTGAATGGTAATCCCCTTAGGTGTTAAGTGGGTTCTTCGCACAAAGGCGAATTAGACAAATTTTAATGCAAGCATCGAAGAAAAGGATCAATGGATCGCCTCCCGATCTCCAGCATATGGGCTCCAGCTCCATGTTTGCACTCTCCGGACAGAGAGATATTGATATTAATCAATTAATTATTATCGGATGTCCTGCGATGCTAAAGTCTAAAGTGGCAACGCAACTTTTTTTTTGGGAAAGTGCATATAAGGACACACGCATATAGAAGAAAACGTATGATTAAGATGCAAATTTAATGGGAAACTCCTCGTTTCGTCATCAAAATCCACTTTTGATTGTTGTGTGTAATGATTTAATGCCCCCGTGAACATATTAATTATAAACACAACAGATAGAAATTATACATATAGATGGATATATAACACACACTTTGCCATAGCCGAAATCGGAAGAATGAACGTGAACAAGTGAAGTTGGGAGACAATTTCATACAATTGCATGTATAAAATGATACAAAGTAAGCAAATGAAACAATGCAAGTAAAAGTATTCGTCAATAAACATTATTTCCAAACACAATAACCATATAACCGGAAGGTTCAATTCGTTTTATTGGGAGTGTTGGTAAGGTTAAGGGGAAAAGAAATAAGTGCAACATAGCTCAATGAGCAAAAACTAATTTTTTAAAATTCATAACAAAGTGTAAAGTGTATGAAATTCAATTCGGAAAGCTGTTCTGAATTAGGTTTTTTAAGCTTTATAAAACTGCGTACTCAATTACCTACCAATAATTTAAAAAAGCAATTGAAATAAACAATAAACAAAACTTAAATAATCAATCCGGTTATAAATCTGCATACTCAATTTCAAGTTGTTTTCTAATTTTATTTTTACCACATTTTATTTGCCAATATATTTGCCATAACAAATAAAATCCCACACTCTTTTCCTCTACTTACAGCACTCGGAGAGCGAGAAAGAGAGCGTGTAAAGCGATCCGCGAAGCACAAGTTCATCCTAGCCATCATTGTAATTGTTGATTGATGATCAGCGGATCGGCAGAGGTGAAGCTGGAGGAGCGAGCAGCTGGGATGGCGGAGCTCAAGCCAATGGCAGTGGAGGACGAAGGTCAGAGCTTGGCTCGGGGCTAGTTGAACACGTGCAGAAGGCGCAAAGTATTTGAATATTTATAAATACAATTTAAATGTGTAAATGTAATTTATGGAACATACGAATATAAATCAATAAAAAAACCTGAAATCAATGTGGAAAAGTTTAATGAAGACGGCATTTATTTGGGGGCCTTGGGATTGTTTGGGGAACATTTTTTCAAAGCGAAATCAATTTTTTCTGATTTTCTAACACATTTTTCAGATTTTTTAAATTTTTTTCTATATTTTTAAAATTTGTTCTGGATTTACAATTTTTTTTCTGAATTTTTAACATTTTTTTCAGATTTTTTTACACTTTTTTAGGATTTTTTACATTAGTTTTTAAATTTTAACTGCCAAATTTGAATTTGAATTTAACGAAGATCAGTTTCAGTGTGCCCAGGTGCAGTTGTAATATAACACCTAAATTTGGATTCAAACGGTTTGAGTCTCCGCTTACTTGCGCCGGCTCCTAAATGGTTCGAAACTTGGACTTTTTATAACAGTTTATACCAGTTTTCAGTTGCTTGCTGCTGATTTCTGTTCGCCTGTTACCCCAATTTGGGAAACGGGCAATTTGCATGGAAATGTTCGGAAATTTGGATGGTCTGCTGTAGGGATGTTGTTGTAAAAAGGTTGTTGTTGCCATCAAGCTGTTGTTGTCGGCAACAAATAGGTATAAATACATAAAATAAAATATAACAGTTTATACCAATTATTATTTTTGCCCAAAAGTTTTTATAACAGTTTATACCAGTTTTCAGTTACTTGCTGCTGGTTTCTGTTCGCCTGTTACCCCAGTTTGGAAAGCGGCCAAATTGAACGAAACATGTTGCTCACTTGCATCAGTGATGCTCATCTGCATCAGTGATGCTCATCTACATCAGTGAAGCTCATCTGCATCAGTGATGCTCATCTGCATCAGTGATGCTCATCTGCATCAGTGATGCTCATCTGGCTATATATTGCAATATTGGGAGGCTATAAAAATCAGGCCTAAGGGCAGTGATGCGCATCTAGCTATTTTGTATTATTGGGACAAAATAGCTATTTTGCATTATTGGTAGGAAATGGCATCGCATTAGCCGGCAGTGATGCTCTTCTTTTTGCATTATTGGGACAAAATGGCATCTCAGTTACTGCCAGTGATGCTCATCTAGTTATTTTGCATTATTGGGACAAAATGGCATCTTCTAAATTCGTCATAGATTCCATAAATACATTGGCTTATACAAACCTTTACCCTGCTAGAAAGTTCCGTTCCCTTCCGTTCCATTAATTAAAACATCATTATTTGTTTTTTTTGTATTTTCTGTTTATTATTCTCAATTTTTGGTTTTATAATTTTGTTACGCATGTGATTATATATTCCTTTGCATTATTTATTTTCTTGTTTTCGGTTTCTATTCTGGGTTTAGTTCGCCTTTACAAATAATCATCGTTATGATCGGTTCTTATATAGTTTCTATGCGGTTTTCTTGTTTTTAATAAATATTCAATATATCCATTAAATTTGTTAATGCAATTTCCATTTTTCATATATATAAATAATGTACATCACGAAAAAAAAAAACAATTCATTACTCATTAGTTGTTGTATGCATTGGTTTCTTCGTTTTCCTTTCAGTTTAACTTTGGTTTTTCTTTTGCAGAAGCTGTTTTTGGTTTTCATAATAGTTTTTTTTGTTTTTTTTTTTTTGTTTTTTGTTGTGGGGCGTGGGCGTGGCCCGTGCCAAGCAGCGGAAATTCGGCCAAAAGTCGTTAAATGCCGTTGCATAATTAGATCGTACTCGTAGTTAATAATAGTTCCCTTAGTGGATTGCATTTTGTTTTTGTTTTCTTATTTTTTTGTGGGCCGAAAAGCGAGTATTTTACACACACACATTGTACACACACATAGAAATGCAATGCCCCTTACGATCGCTGTCTCTGTCTCTGACTGTTCCTGTTGCCGTCTCCCTTTCGCCGCAATAACTCTCTATGTAAAGCGAAACTAGGTACGTACGATATCGATATCTCTCTTTCTTGCCGTCCATATCTGTCTCTTTCTGCCGGTCTATCTCTGTTCCTGTCGCTTTCGTATCTATCATTGCCTAAGCCTGTCTTTTTCTGCCTTTCTAATATCCTTTTCAATATCCCTCTATCTCTCTCTCTCTCTCTATATCTATCAACTTGTTTAACGAGTAGTAGCACAATTTTTGGACGAAGATGGTTTGAAATCGAAGCGTCTAAGTGGGTGTGATTGTGTGTGTCTAGTGAGTGTCTGCCTGTAGTGTAGAATGTAGAGTGTAGAGTGTCTGTTGTGTCTGCTAAACTAAATCCTCTATATGGGGCATGTGGGGTGGGTCTGTGTGTAAGGAGCTCCTCAATTTACGCAATACAAATACACAATATACGATCAGGCTATATCCGTTACAACTATCAAAATTCTCGGCTATGTGTGCGAGTGGAAAACGCTTTGACAATTTCCCAATTTACTATCTGACCCAAGCATTCCGTTCTGTTAAATATATATAAATATATCGGGGTGCTATATAGTGTGTGGATTATATATATGTTGTATATATATATGTATATATAGACTATATCAAAAGAGCTGCCTGCTGCGAATCCCGATTCGGTTGGGGTCTTGAGTTGCCTTGTGCTCGTGTCCTTTTGGTTTTTACAATAAATAATGGGGCGTAAGCATATATGGGATCTGGGGGGGTGACGGGGGTCTTTTTCTAACCGCCTTAATCTCTGACTAGTGTTGCCGTTCAACTAAGCTAAGGACGTTTTCGCAAAAAGGTCATTGTGTTCATCATCATCATCATTGTTATTATATATATACTAGTTATATCCGTATGTCCGTCGGCCTTGTTATTAACTATTATTACTAAGCTTTGCAAAAGGCGTGCCATGTGTGTTTAGTTATCGCTTCGTCTTTCCTTATTTGTCGTAGTAGCTGCTCTCAACTCGCCTCCGATCGAACTTTGTCTAGGTTATTCACGAAAAAAAAACGTATATATATATGTATATATAGATGTGTAAATATATAGGTAAGCTAAATCATATCCTCCTAAACCTATACACGCATATACATCCCTCTCTCTCGCTCTATCTCGCTCTATATATGTATAGGTATATATACTAAATACCGTAATATCCTCATATGATTTTTGGTTTCTTTTATAGTTAACAATAATCGCCGCTTATTATCCTTCCTCCAGCAGGCTGGCTTAAATATATATGGGATTCTCCTGGCCAGTGAGCAGGCGGAACATGGACGTGGGCATCGTTTTCATGAGTATCTGGCGGGGGAATCACAAGATTTATTTATATTCTAGAATCTAGATTAATAAAGAGCCTAGAAAACTCACCTCTCCCACGGATGTGGCCAGCAAGTTGACAATCTTCTCGTGGGGCACAGCCACCACGCTCTGGTTGTTGATCTCGATGATGCGGTGGCCCACACGGACGCCGCCCCGCTCCGCGATGCCACCACGCAGTAGACTACAGATCTGAAACGAGAAAGTGATATATATTAAGTGGTTATTATTTATTTAACAGAAACAGTACCGATATTTTCTATAGTTTCTCTACTACTAATAATATTCATATTTAAAATTACTTTTCGATAAATGTATCAAAAGGAAAACGATAAATAATACCGATATACATGGCCACCACTCACCACTCCATTCTGGACGCTGAACCCGAGTTGGTACTTGGTCTCCGGCCGCTTTATCTTCACCTCGACGACGGGGGCACATGGCACCACCGTGAACTTCACCACTGTCTGGTTCTTGGTGTTCTTGATGTACGTCTGGCAGGTGGACAGCGGCAGCCCGACGAGGCTCAGCCCGTTGATGGCAATCAGTTGGTCGCCGATATTTAGCTGCCCGCACCGAGCCGCTGCTCCGGAGCTCATTAGATTGGCAATCACCACAGTGGGCAGCATCGAGCCCCAGCCGCTCTCCACGATCACCACGCCTAGAATCTCGCCCTTGGCCTTGGGCACAACGACCTCCTTTTGCAGCTCCTTCTTGGCGAAAATCTCCAGTTCGTCGCCGAAGATCTCCTGGCTGTTGAGCACCTCCTGGTAGTCCATCTCCTTGACAAAGCGATGGTCCTCGATGCCGTTCGCCTTGAGGAACTCCATGTAGGCCACCTGGAAGGCCTGACCAATGGACTGGGCTATGAACTGGGCCTCGTCGCTCTCGAACACATGGCAGATCATCTTGGGCGTGCGATTGGGCTTGGGGGCGTCATCGATGTCCTGGGGCACGAAACGTCGGCGGGCCATCAATACCACAAGATCTCCAATGTCGGCAATATAGGAGATGGTGCGCAGGGCGTGGTCCATCATGATCTCCTTGAGATCCGTGTTCAGCACCATGATTTTCTCCGTCGAGATGAACAGATCCACCTCGGTGCTGGGCTGCACATCGCCATCGGGGGCCTGCAAGGGCGATTATACCGCAATATAAATATATATATATATATGATATATATATAGGGTATTATGGGGGCTATGTGGGACTGGGGATCTTTGGAGGTATCTTCGGGGAGGCAAGCTTGGCTTTCGGGTAACACAAAATTTATAGCGGGCCAAATGTCAATTGAGCCAATACGAATTCGAGGCAAATCAGGCAAACCAAAGGTGGGTTTAGGTGGATTGGGTGGTGGGTTTTGGTAGGTGGGTTTCTAGTTCAAGTGGTGGCTGGGTGGCTTAAGTGGGCTTTTTAGGCTAGTTTCCTCCATTACTTACCAGCGCCTATATCATGCGAATTTTTGAGTTTCGATTTTTTTTTAAGATTTTTTCATTGTTTGCATGGCGATACGTGGTTTTTGGTTAGCGTGGTTGGTCATCGCGGATGCGGAGCATTTGATGTGAAGGAGATGATACATGAAAATATAACGGTAAACAGTTAATGACTTAATCTTAGTCGCTCTCAAGGTCGGCCCCTCAATCAGCTTTGATGGTTCTATGGCTCAATGACGGAATAATATGCGGGGAGGGGAAACTCAAAAATATTAGAGAGATCGGACAGATCAAGCGGGAATCAAAAGTAGCTCTAAGAATTTAGTCACGAACGATCTTTAAAGGGTTACATTTAATAGAAATCAAAATATAAAAACTACAAAAAAAAAAAAACAGCGAAATGGAATCAAAGCTGATCAATCGGAGCATCAGGCTATTATTATAAATAACAATTCAATGAACCAGGCAATGGCTAGTCCTTACCTTAATCCGGGAAACGGCCTCCTCCGCTTGCATCATGCGCGTCGACTTCGTGGGCTGACCCTCGCAGACCAGCTGCGTGGAGCCCAGGTACTTGGCCCGGAAGAGCACGCCCTCGATAAGCACTGCACCGCCTACAGTTGGTGAGAAGACGGACAGATGGGTTAGCACAAACAGTTTCAAGGGATGTAGAGGATCACAGAGTACGTGTGGAGTATAATTTGGTTTAGTGTATGTGCATGTGTGCCAGCGAGGTAGTTTGATAGATTCTGTACGGTTTGTCCGTGTGTCTGTCCGTCCAATAGAATATTTGCCCATATCTCAGGAACTCTGCTTTTAAATTTGGTATGCAGCTTTATCTTGGGGTTAATAAAAAGTTAATTTAATCCAAGTCTTCTTGAATTTCGAAAAAATAGTAGGTTATACAAGGTTTTCCCACGTAATTATGGTACCAAAATTCTCCTTTTTTAGTATTATGAATTAAGAAATATGGTTACTTTGCAAAATATGAGCCTAGATCTCAGGATCTTGCTGGGGTTCTGCCTTAAAAATTGGTATCATCATAATTTCGTAATACTTGAATGATTAAGTGAGGATCTGTCAAGTCTTATAGTTGCTCCTAATTCAGATTCTAATGTTTTCCTTATTTTGTTCTAGTCAATATCTCAAGTCTCAAGTCGTTGAACTTTCATAATAATCGAACGAATGTCAATATCTATCATAATAGATTTCAAAATGTTGCCTTGTTTTGTGTCTTCTTGTTCGTGTTGGATCTTAAACACTATTACATAATGGAATTTTATCTTACAAATTGTATTTTACACACACACAGACACAGTAAAATGAAGAGTAGAGTTTGGTTTTGGTTTTGATTTGATTTTTGGTTGAACGAACGAACGACGCATGCAAAAAATACGCAAATAAATATGCGAAAGAATACAGAGAAATGATAGGTAAAAATATTAAATATATACGATTAATATACGCATTAATATGGATCGAGAGAGAATTGCATATAGGTTTAATCAATTGATCAATTTACGCTTTCATTTCATTTTCATTTTCATTTTCTTTTCGATTATATTGTTGTTTCTCTGGCATTTGGACAACATCAATGCAATGCACACAGCACAGGATATATATGGAACAAATACTATATATATGCAGATATATATATGTATATATATAGACGGTTATGGGAACAATCGAACGAAGGATAAACCCAACGCATTTACCTTCTTTGCTCTTACTCTTTTTCACTTTTTTCTCGCCGCTGCCGCTGTTGCTGTTGCTGCCAGCTCCGCTTCCGTTGCCATTGGCCGTTGCATTGGCTATGTTCGTGCCGCCGCTGTTGCTGCCACTTCCGCTTCCGCTGCCCGTGTTCGCACCGCCGCCATTGGCCACCACTGCGGCTGTGGCCGTTGCCGTCCCTCCATTGGAGGCTCCATTCTCCGAAGGCTCGCCGCCAAGCTGCTTGATGCCAGCTCCTGATCCGCCGGTATTCCCTGCTCCTCCTCCTCCTCCTCCTCCACCGCCACCGCCCGCTGCGGATCTCTCTGATCCGCCTCCATTTCCAGGACTCCCCAGGGCCGGGGTTGTTCCGGCTGCCGCCGCCGCCGCTGCTGCTGCTGCTGCCACTGCTGCCGCCGTTGTGGCCGCCACTGCCGAGGCCACCACATCCACGGATCCGGCCGAGCACAGATCACCGCCAGAGGTGGTAGTGACCAGTTTACTGGGCGACTTGTCACTGTGCTCCGAGGAGCTGCTGCGCGACAGACTGCGCTGCACCATGCCACCGACCAGATCCAAGAGCTTGCCCTGCGAGAGTCCACCCAGGCCGGACTGCTGGCTCTTGGGCGGAATCGGTGGCGGCAGCTCCGGCGTGGAGCTGAGCAGCGCATTGTAGCCGTTGCGCGTCTTGGTGCTGGGCATCTGCTGCTGCTTAGGCGAGATTTTCGAGAGCAGCGAGCGCGGCTTGCGGTCCCAGCTCTTGTTTTCATCGTAATAGCCCTGATCGTCCAGCCGCTGGTGGCCCAGCAGACGGTCCGTCTCCAGGTCAGTGTCCACGTCCTCCTCATCGGCACTGTGGTTTTTCGAGTGGTTGTCCGAGGCGGACTCAAGCAGAGCCTTCCCAGCACCGCCCCCGTTGCCGTCCAGGTGACGTGACAGCCACACGGGTGAGTTGAGGCCCGGTGATGGCGACCGTTGAGCGGGCGGAAGATTGCTCCTCTCCGGTATGGGTGGAGGCACTCCTCCGCCGCCGCCATTGCTGCTGCTGCAGTTACTGGCCGCACTCCTTGGCTTCGAGTTCAAGCCTCCGGTTCCGGTGGGAGAGCTGCGCTGCAGCGTGGAGCTAATGGCCACCGCCAGGGGAGTATGCTTGCTGCTGGGCTGCAGCAGATCCACATCGGCCTGGCCATTGCTGTTAGCATTGGGCTTGCGATGCGGTGCCGGCGCGGGCGGCGGTGGCGTCATCTGCACCGTGTCCGGGCGGTGGAAAACACCTGAAAAAGGATTTTGAAAGCCGCGATTAGAGACGGAGCTTGTGCGCTAGGAACCTTTTGACTCACTGATCGAGTAGAGCGAATCCAGCTCCGGATCGATGTTCTTGAACACTTTGCTGTGGTTGCTGGGACTCTGGCCCAGGAGCGGAGGCTGCGACTGTGATTGCGGCTTGACCAGTCCGTTGCTGGGGGGACTGGGACCCACTCCTCCGATGCCATTGCTGTCCGTGGTGGAAGCCGTGGTGGTTGTCAGGTTATGCATGCTGTTCAGGCTGTTGTTCGTGGAGATGCGCTTCATGTCCATCAGCATGGAAATCCCACCACTGCCGCCAATGCTGGTGCTGGCGCTGAGGCTGGTGGGCGGGCACTGGGCGGCACCCTGTCCCCCCCCAATTCTATCCCGTTCCTGATTGGCCAGCGCCTGCTGCAGGTTCTTGTTGTTGTTGTTCTCGGTGTCGCTGGTGTGACCGGAGGAGAGGCCATCCTCCAGCACTGGCATGGCCGAGGCATAGTACTTGGCGTAGTTGGAGCAAGAGGTGGACACCCCTCCATTCATCTCGCCGGAAAGACCTGCAGGGGAGACATTAGTAAGCTATTAGATTTGATCCTGATCCTGAAACTCACTGTCCAGATCGCCGCAGTTGGAGTCGTAGTCGGTGGTCTCCGGCGAGTAGCGATAGTTGTGTCCTCCGCCCGGACCCACGCCCACGCCGACGCCGACGCCAACCTGGCCATTGCTGCCGGCGCTTAGCAACTGGTTGTGATTGAGTCCGTCCTGATCGCCGTCCCGCTCGCCGCTGCTCCGACTGGCAGAGTCCAGGAAGAAGTCAAAGTCCCGCATCAAAGGACTGCCACTGTAGTGCCGCCGGGTCATGCCCATGCCAATGACGGGAAGCTGCTGCTGCTGCTGTTGTGGCGCCTGTTGGCCATAGCCGCCGTAGACATGGCGCTCGGTGGGAGGAGCCTGCAGCTGCTCCTGCTGCTGCTGCTGGCGGTAGTTCAGCTCATGATCCTGGTCCAAAACGCCATCGTCCTCGTCCTCGGCCTCGTCGTTCTCCTCGTCGGCCAGGTCATCATCGCCCTCGTCATCGTCCTCGACCTCTTCCTCTTCGGCCAGATCCTCCTCGTCGCGTTCAAAGTTGCTGTGAAACTCGTATTGTATATCCTGCGGAAGAAAACATTATACTATATAGGTTTTGTAGGGCTACGAGGGAGTATGACACCACTCACAATGCTGTCCACATCGCTGCCGTTCTCCATGATGGGTTGCTCGTCGGTGGAGGGACACTTGAAGAACTCCTCCAGCACCTTGCGCGTCTCCGAGAACTCGTACAGATAGTCAAAGGTCGAGGATTTGGTGTGGAGGCTCAGAGGACCCAAACCAGGACCGGTTCCGTTTCCAACTAACGTTGCTGTACCGTTTCCGTTTCCGTTTCCGGCTCCTGATCCCATTCCCGTTCCCATTCCCGTTCCATTACTAACTGTCGGTGGTGTCATCGCCCGGCCGGCTAGGTCTCCTCCGGCTCCGATTCCAGCTCCCGGCATCGCCACCTCCGGTGTGGTTAGGTCGGAAATGGTGCCTATCTCGGACACATCGTTGCTGGTGTCCTCCGCATTGTTGTCGCTGCTCAGCGGCAGCTTGTTGTTGGTGTTGTTGGTATTGTTGTTGCTATGGTTGCTCATCAGGCTGGCGAAATGTTGTTGCGTTTGTTGCTGCTGCTGTTGCATGTGCAGCGGCTGCAGGGTGGGAGAGCTGCTGCGAGGCTCGCGATGCGGCGGCGAGATGATGCGCTGGAGAAGATTTGTTGGGTTTGGAGAGAAGATTAAGGCAAGAGAGAGAGTGAGAGAACTCACCTGTGGAAACCCGGGACGCACGGGATAGGCCTGCAGCGGCTGCTGCTGCTGGTTTATCTGGTTGGGATTTAGGGGCATGTGGGCATTGTGGGCATTAAGGGCGCTGAGGGCACTTAGGGGGTGTTGGGCATGGGGCTGGGTCTGGGCCAGGGCCGCAAGTGCTGCTCGGGCCGCTGTCTTTTGTAGCGAGGTGGCTGTGGCACTCAACGGCGGTACTGCCGCCATGGGTAGCTGCTGTGCTCCTGCTCCTGCTGCTGCTCCTGATCCTGATCCTGGTTCCGTTGCCGTTCCCGTGGCTGGTGGTTCGCTTTCGTCCGCTGCTGCTTGAGCCGCCGCCGCTGCTGCTGCTGCAGCAACCAAGTTGTTAGTGGTCACTCCAATGCGCCGCGGTGAGCCTTCGTATTCTGGGGAAGATTAAGGTTTAAGGGTTAAGGTTAAAGTTAAGGTTAAGGTTAAGGTTTTAAGGATTATCTTCAATTTTTTTTACAAAGAAAACGCAAAGGTTACCTATGATGCCATGGCGCGACTCCACGGTCAGCGTGAAGTTGCGCTCCAGCTGCCAGGCATCCAGCTTGTGCTCCCTGTAGACATTGCTGGCCTCCGGGCTCTGGATCTGGATCTGGTTGTGACTCTGGCTGGCCTGGTTGAGCATCTGAAGCTGGGACTTGTCCGAGGTCAGCTTGCTGGGCTTGCTGTTCTCCTCCGCCGCCTGGTTCTCCGTCGTCACACGCAGATCTGTGGATGAGTGATGAGAGGGGAGGATTGGGATGATGAAATCAGGGCTGTGCCATTGACAAGGGTCACAGGCGATACCATCCATTGGGACGGCTTGGGATGCCAATTAATTGCAATCAATTAAATTCCACTTTGGAGCGCTTCCTACTACGCTTTGTTCGCGGCGGCATCTCCTTCCCTGAATGGGATTCGGACGACGGCGAGGACTTGGAATCGGACTGGGCATTGGCTGTGTTGTGCTCTCTCCGCTTCATACATATTTGCAGTACACTTCATTACGCATGATTTGCAATTCAATTACCCGGCCCCCATGTCCATCTGTCTATCTGTCCGCTATTCAGCCAGTCGGAAATTGGTTTCGCCCAGGAACTGCTCCTCCTTCTCCCTCTCCACCTCCTTGGCTGGTGGAGAGTCCTTCAAGCCACAAATTTCTGCAGGCACGTGCAACCACAGAGGTAGCCGCTCGGACTGAGATTCGCCCCGGAGAATGCCTGTGCGCCACTATAAATCTGCTCCACCTAAGGATTCTGCCACTCCCACTCGTATGTGCATACTCTTAAAGGATATGCTGTGCATCAGGAATATTATTATGCATAATTTCTTTGTGAAATTATAACGCAACATTTTTTTAATGAATTTAAGACTGGATTTTATGGGAACTTCAATTAGGTTTTGAATATAGTACGTTTTGGGTAAGAGAGTGTGAGGAGTTGCAGTTCGAAGGAATCAAAATATCAATTTCTATTTTGATTAATGTTTTAGGAACCATTTATTGAAACAAGGATGCATAAAAGCAATATTAAAGGATGAATAATTAAAATGTAACATAAATAAAATGGATTTAAATTATATACTTTTATTAAGAAAACTTCGAAAAGTCCTTGTTTTTAATAGCTTTTTGTGCAAATTAGATAGAGCTCCTAAGTTTTCCTATCGACAATACTAACTATTTATTTTTGTTATTTATTATCGATATAAAAAATTGTGGTTCGTTGATCTCCAAAACAAAAAATAGACAATATTTTATATTTTACTCACGCTGCCAGCTCTCGTTGGGATCCGCATTGCCATTGACCAGACGATGATCTCGTTCCCGCTCTCGCTCTCGCTCTCTTTCCCGCTCCTCGCCATGTCCATGTCGCTTCCTTTGCTGCTGACCTGCCAGATGGCTAAGGTGGTTCTCCCTCGCCGCATGCACTTCCTGCATCTGCATCTGCTGCTGCTGCTCCAAAATAAGATGCTCCCGTTCGCGGTCCCTCTCCCGCTCCCTGTCCCTTTCTCTTTCCCGCTCTCGCTCCTCGCGCAGCCTAAGCTTGCGCTGCTCCCGGGGCTCCCAGTCGCCGGCATGTTGATCCAGCGATGACTTGCTGCCATATAGATAATGACTGGCCAGCGGAGTCAGTCCATCGGCGCAGGGATTAGTGTTGGCGGATGCGTTGGCCACCTGTTGCTGCTGCGGGAAGCTGTTGCGATTCACCGGACTCCTGCCCACCCGCAATTGAGCCTGCGGCTGCTGTTGCTGCGTTCTCTGGCCCAATCCATAAGCCTGTTCCCGCTGCTGGTGGTAAGCTCGTCTGGCAGAGGCATGAAGATGCTGAGCCTGCTGTTGTTGCTGATGATGCTGCTGCTGATGCTGTTGCTGCTGCTGATGCTGTTGCTGCTGATGCTGTTGCTGCTGCTGATGCTGTTGCTGCTGCTGCTGCTGCTGCTCCTCGGCATACTCCGTGGGCGAGTGGAGTAGGGAGCTAGCTCTGGTGGGTGGCGCCTCCCAATAGTTCTCCTTGATAAAAGGATTCTGGCTGCCACTGCCTGCTCCGTTCCCATTATTCAACTGCTGCTGCCTGCTGGTGGCGGCCAGGTTGGCGCTCCTTTTGCGCGGCATCTCCGCGTAGCCGCCGGTGCCACGCCGGCTATCCCCCACGACGGTGTGGTGGTAGTAGAAGGATGAAGGATAATCGGGCTCCTCGCTGGGGGCTGCCGCTCCGCTCCTGCTCCGGCTCCTGTTGCTGAGCTCTACGGCGGATTCTCCGCCGGCGTTATCCAGCTCCGGCTCCTCGTCGTCCGGCGGCGTGGGCGGCGTCAGTGGGGCGCACAGGAAGGGATTCGTGGAGATGCGCGGCGTGACCGAGGACAGCGATTCCGATGAGTGCGACGAGGCCGAGTGCGGTGGCGGTGACTGTGTAATGATATTGACGCTCTTGTAGTAGCTGGGCGGCGTGTTGTTGCTCGCAGGAGTGATCAGGGGCGTAACTAGGGGCGGCGGACTGGCCAGCGGCTTCTCCTCCGTAGGAATGGCCGCCGAAATGGGACTGTTGCTCCGGTTGCTGCTGCTGCTGTTGTTGAGAATCACGTCTGCCAGGAGCTCATGTCGCTGCTGCTGTTGCTGCTGCTGGGTTGCGTGCTGCTGCTGCTGCTGCTGCTGTTGCTTGGGTCGGCACTTGGGGAAGAGCAGGCTGATCTGATCGTTGAGTGGCGGCGATGGTGACAGCAGCGCCTGCGACAGGTTCAGCTGCGGTTGCGGCTGTTGCTGCTGCTGCTGGTAGTTTGAGTTGCTGCCGTCGCAGTCGTGATCAAGGCTGCCGTTCAGCGCGTAGAAGCTGCTGCGTTGCTGGCTCGCAGTGGCTGCTGCTGCTGCGTGGGTCTGCAGTCGCTGGTATTGCAACTGCTGCTGCTGCGACTGTTGGTGCTGCTGCGGCGGCTGATGCTGCTGCTGCTGCGGCTGGTGGTGATGGTGGTGGTGATGATGATTACTGCTACTAGTTGTTTGTCCAGCAGCCAGTGTCGTCAATGTTGTGCTGACCATTATTGTTGCCAATAAACTGCAAGGACACAGGAAGGACATTGAATTAAATTTCAATGAAAGATAAGAGGTATTTAAGGTTAATCAAAGATTTAAGCAAAATGATATCTATTTGTAGGAGAATTTTTTGGATAAGCTTAAGCTGTTGAGCTAACATACTCTGTTAAGCTCGCTTTCGGGACTCATGGTGAAACTACTTAAGGTGGTCTCCATGCTCTCTGAGCACGGTCATCCAGTTTAAGAGAGAACAAGATTAATCCCACTAAAGAGTGTTTAAAAGAGACAACCATTCTGATCACCGCTTAAGTTCAGATCCCCCAGACAGGCGACAGACGACAATTGCTGCGGCTTAAACATTTCGCACATCGTTTAATAACCCCCCCCCAGCCTTCCACCGTCCTCATCCTGCCACTGGGCCTGAGCTCTCTTTTTGCCTACACGCTTCACGTCCTGCTGGCAGTTGTTTTAATAAATGCAGGCGCAATGTCAACCTTTGTCATGTCCGAGCGGCAACGGGGCGTGACAGTAACGAGTTCTGCCTCTGCCGCTGCCGCTATCGCAGTCACAGTCACAGTCACAGTTGCTGCCCGTCTGGGTCACGTTTCACGGGGGAAAACAAATGGCGGCCATAAGACAGGCAAATATTTAATTGTCCGTCCCCTCCAGAAAAGAGGGAAATTGGAGAAATACGAAGGGCGAAATGCGAAACACTCGTGCAGCAGCCAATCAATGTCATTGAGCGATTGCCGTCGGTTTGCTGAATTTTAAACGTCGCCTGCGATGGCCGTGCGTTTAAATTGGATTCAATTTGCATTCGCTACGAGCTTTTTGTCATCTGCCATGCAAATGAGCCACAATGGTGTTTTCTTTTGTTTGTTTTCTTTTTGTTTTTTGTGACTGTGGATGGCGTGTGGAACTTGGAACCAGAATCGTGTAATATGCAAATAACGGCCGGTAGGGTTGATATGTAAATAAGCGAAAATTCGGGGCTTTTTGAAGTGTGGATTCCATGTGGAACTCGTTGGTATAACTTGTGTAAATCGTTGTTTGTGGAATCCATGAGGGAGTTAGCTATAAAGTGGAAGCCAACTTGATATCATATTTAATGTCAGTTTCGATCTACGGCTTTAAAAATATAAATTGTAGTGAACATCAAAAAAAACCCAAATGGAAATCATTATAATATGTGGGTGCTCTCTAAGGATTTTTACCATAATAAGCCATATGACATAGGTAGATTCCATGTGGAATGTAATTAAATTGAAATGAAAATAATTAATCAAAAATCATGAAAATTAAGCCATTCCACATATAAGTGAAATATTCGTGAACTTCATATGGATATTGTGTTAAATAATTTGCTTTCTCCGCCTCATACTATTAAGGACTCCCCTTAACCGCTTTAAACTTAACCACATCCCAGAATTCCATTCCACAAAAGCATCCCTGCCACCTAAAAGCATCCATATCCACACGTTATGCTAATGCGTTTGGAGTGTATGTGTGTGTGTGTGTGTCATGGTGTGTGCTTGTGTGTACTTGTGCTTGGGGGCTTAAAATATTTTCCCAACAATCAAACTAAAAATTTCGAAAAGGATTAACAACAACAGGAGCAGCAGCAGGCAAAAGGCAGAAAAGCGTAGAAAATACCCACAGGGCACCGCTCATCCATACATATGTATGTATGGTTACATATACATATACATACATATATCTAAAACTGGCACTGGTTAGTACAGTGGGGATAAGCCGAGCGAACGTCGAGATATGTGGGCCATTGTTGTTGCTGTTGCTGTGCGTCTCGCATCGCTTTGTGCACTCGCATGGAAAATATGTTTTCGTATTCTGGAATGCCACACAACTGAACTGGGAAAGAGCAGGAGGAGGAGGAGGGGGAGGAACAGGAGAAGGAGCAGGAGGAGGACCAGGAGGAGGAGCAGGAGGAGGAGGAGCAGTAGCTGAAGCAGGGGAAAAAGCAGGAGGAGCACTAGGACTCATGTGCACCGCACGCTTCGCTTGGCATTAAGACGAGAACTGCCGGATGGACAAAGGACAACGGCCGGGTTGGTCTTTCCATAACCGAAATCTACACAACAGCTAACAAGGTATAACAGGAGGATGGAATCGGAGTCGGAGTCGGAATCATGGCCATGGCCAGGGCAACATTTTCTTTACGGCTTCACACGACACGAGCACGGCTATAGCTGGGCAAACATTTTCATTGCCCCCGACATTTATGGGGAGTGTGGAAAGTGCTGGCCAAAGCCATCTATCTGCCACTTCATCCATCTTTGTAGCTCTTCGCATCAACATCAATCTGTCGCCTCAAATCCGTTTGCTGTTGCTCCACACAGCAACGAAAGAGAGCTCCCTTCGAATCCATCTCTCTCTCCACCGATGGCTGGCCCCGGGTCTTTAGCCCCATTTTCCCCACCAACTCAAACTCGAACTGGAATTCTACCCTCCTCCCGGTCCTTGTTCCGATGTTATGTTTGGTATTTTTCGGTGCCAAGTCCTGAAATTTGATGCTTAAGCAGACTCTGACAGCCTGTGAAAGGATTGCGATTGCCATTCCTTTGATTTACTGGGCAACGCGCCGACACTCAGCCCATTTTCACCGATTTTCAGCAAGCCTTTTAACCGTTTGACACGGAAAACAAAAAAGTAATGCCAACGCAATTTTGGGGAAAATTTCGATTTGGAAAACTTTGATTTGAAAAATTCTGTTCTGCAATCAATACCCCAAAGGCTTAATCCTTTCGAGAAAGTCCTTGTTTGATCCAATTACCCTCCCGTTTCTCTCTGTGTGAGTCCTCTCGCCTTTTGCCTTTAAGTGATGTCAAGTGCGAGCCATAAAAATTTCATAAATTCACCAGGAGCCCGGAGCACACATGCACACAGTCACAGCCACATCCACATCCCGGACCAGCTTCAGCGGCATCCTTGTCCTAGACCTGGCAGCTGCATAATTAAGTTACCAGCCAGAGGAGGACCGATGCTGCGCGTCCTTGGAGTTTTATTAACTTAATGTCTGCTTAAACGATGCGTCGCTTGCCGCTCTTTAAATATTTAAAATTAATTCCATCCTGTGCCACTTTCCCCTGCTCTCCCGCTTCCTTCGTCCACTCGTCCAATGAATCAAAATCAAAATCAATTGCCAGCAGTGCCCACAGTTTGCACCTGATGTGCTGGGGGTACGGGTGCAATAGCACGGAGCACAGAGCACGTGGGTCCTGGCCTTAATGCGGTCCTGGGGCTGATACCGTCATTACAGCCACATTGCGGCAGGACACCGACAACGACGTGGGTAATGGGTTAGATGCAATTACCTCTGCCTATGATGGCATTAATTATGCAAAACAACTAACGCTGCGGGAGGTGGGTCCAGGACCTGGCACAAACGGAGGCAGACGGGCGTGTGCCAGTGGCCCTAGGGCACGCAAGCCCCACCAAGTCCAGAAACTTATCGTGTATGTGTTTGTGTGTGTGTATTTGTGTATGTGTGTGGGAGGACGACTTTCCTCGACTTCCTGGCGATTGCATGCCGCCGTCGCCACCGTCGTCGACGCCGCCAGCAGTGCCGTAAATGAAACATGCAATTTATTTTAACCCAAATCGCTGACTGTTTTTGTGTCCGTTATGCAATTACTTTCCATCCTCGGGGGCTGGCAGCCAGCGGGGCGATAAGTACTGCTTTGTCTGCCGATTGAATGCTCACGAATCCTTCATGCAGAAGCTTTTGTTTCTGTATCCAGACAGAGATATAGGGGTTCCTAGCAAGTAATAACTGAAGAGTGGGGTCAAGGGGAAGAAAACACATGTCTTACAAGGGGTTAAACCTCCTTTTATATGGCAGTAAAATTTATAAAAAATTATGTAATAAACATTTATACTTTGTGTAATGTAGCAATTACAAAGAAAAAGTATAAAATAGCAAATACTAAGAGAATAAAATCCTTGGTAATATCTCCATATAACCTGCCACATGTCAAGGTTTAGACTTAATTTATCACTAAGTCTTCATTGGGATATTTATTAAAATTTATAAATACATAAATATCGCATAAGAATTCACTTGGCACGATAAATATTACTCTTCTGCCTCCGTACTCAGATGCCCTAATAAATGGGCAATGTTTTTAAAGCAAGTTCTCGGCTGCCCCAAAAAGTATGCAATGCTTTCTTGAAGCAAATCAAGTGAAGAGTAAGCAATAGTCGGGGCTACACTCAATCCCACCTCACGAAGCCTTAGTTAATATTTTCCAGATTTTCGCCTGGATCTGCAATTAAACCCAGGACAGCTTTTGGCTTTCACAGTGCGCGCTGCTCAAGGATTAATTCAATTATGGAGAGAGATAGCAGATAAGTGAGGGGGAATTTGTGTGTGTGTGTGTGTGTGAGAGAGAGAGCCATTCGCTCGTTAAGCATTCGTGTGGGAAAATTGTCGCTAAGCGGATTTGAGTGCAGCGCGTGAAAATTGCTGCAATTTGGGTTAAAAACCATTTTGGCTAAGAAAAACCAGCAATGACAACAGCCGGAAAGGCAACAGAGGGAACGCGGAAGGGAGACGGGAAACCAGGACGTCATGTAAAACGCCGCATGACAAAAGCACACGGTGATAAAAGCAAGCTGGGGGGTGAGGGGAGACGGAAAAGCGGCGGATGGTGAAGCGAAAGCGAAAGGAAAGCCGAGTGTAATGAAAAGTGAAAGTGACTAAGATGTTTTTCCTAACTGTCTTTGTTGTTGTTGCTCTTGTGCTGATGACGTGGGCGACTAGTAATGTGGACAAAAACAACGAGAAAAAGAAAACCAGCGACAGCAGCAATAACGGTAGAATTGTAACGTTTGCCAAATGAAAATGGCAGCACGCAAAATGGCGACTCAGCAACAGAGAGTCGGAGAAGGAGAGAGAGTCAGAGAGAGGGAAAGGTAGAATGAGAGTCAGAGCGAAGAAGAGAGATAGAAAGAGCGAGGAAGGAGGCCTAAAATATAGAACAAGAGGGCAGGACGATGACGAAA